ACAAAAAAAAAAAAAAAAAAAAACTGTGCATGCTTAAGGGATCAGGGATATAACTCAGTGGCCTGCATGCCAAATGCAAGGTCCTGAGTTCAATCCCCCATACTGGAAAAAGAAAAAACAAAAAAGAAAACACAACACTAATTAAAATGCTAAAAAACTAATTTTAAAATAGGTCATTGACAAAATAGATGTAACATTCTTTCCTTCCTTCCTTCCTTAAAAAAATAAGAGTGCATACTTAGCATGCACAGGACCTTGTTCAATCAATCTCCAGCACCTTAAAAAGATCCAATTTGTTGCCATGAAATCTGTCTCCAAAATTGACAAGTGGAATGTAAAATCAGTCAGGCTACAAATCATTTGTAGTCTAAAATCTGTAGCCCACTTCCTCCGACTGGGCCCCTCCAGCTATGGACTGATCCATGGATGGGTGTGTGGCCTTATCATCCAGTTACTACTCTAGGCCCCACCTGTGAACACATGAGCTTGGGGGGCGGTGAAATCGAAACTGTAACAGTGTCTATCTCTAGTCACAAAATACCACAATAAGACAGAAAAAGTTCACAGGAATATGTGAAAAACAAGTATCCTTTAAAAAAATCATTACAATAATTTTTTGGTTCACAATTTATAGTCCATTTGAAGCTGTGCTGTGGATTTATTTAGACCATTGAAATTTGGTTATATCCTTACTCAGGGCAACAAAGGTAAGCATTATAGTTGAAAATAATGAGGAAAAACTTGCTGAAAGTGGAGAGTGGTGATAAAAAACACGAGCTTTGGAATCTGACCAAACTCATTTCCATAACCTATCACTTGCTAATCGAGTATTATTGGTCAGGGTATTAAGGTTCAGGTATCTCTGAACCTTAGTTTACTCATAAAACTGGGAACACTAATGTCTAGGGCCTAGGGATAACCCAAGGATTAAATACTGTAAGTGAAGGACTTACTTACCAAGTCTCTGACACAATAACTTTTTAATAAAATATTGATAGGATAATGATAATAAATAATAGATTGGAAGATGTTTCAAATTTTATCAAACTTATGAGTCTGACATTGTTTACTTTTTATTTTTTATAAAAAGTAAAGATATGTTACTAGAATTTGTGATAATCACATTGGGGGGAAGTTGATTTTAATATCTTATTTAAATAGTTAATAGCATCAATGAGAAAAGCAAAATGTCCAAGGTCATGAAAGACATCAGAACAATTTAAGAAAATACTTTATGTAATTTCTCATCAAAGAATCAGCAACCTAGATTAAATGCATGATTTTCTAGAAAAATCTAAATTCTCACACTGACAAAGAATAAAAGGAAATGAATGATACAAATCAAGAAACATGGAAGATAGAGAAAGATGACCGAATATCTGCAAGCCCAGATAATTTTTCGGGCATATTCTATAACTTCCTAAAACAAAAAGCATGGGAATTATCTATCATTCAAACAATTCCAGAGCACAGAAAAAAAGGGTGAAATTGCACAAGTTCATCTTCAAAGTTACACCAATCCTAATATCAATACTGGATAAAATGGCAGGAGATGTATCTCAGTGCTACAACAGTTGCCTAGCATGCATGAGACCTTGGGTTTGATCCTCACTACCACACAAAACAATACAAAACAAAAAAACTAAGATAGCACACAGAAATTGTAGATCAATCTTCCTTCCTTTCACAGATCTGACACCACATAAACAAAATATAAATTAAATCCAGCAAATAATTAAAATAATAACATTTCATAAACAAGTGAATTTAATCCAGAAACCTGGGGTGTTCTAGTGCCCCAAAACATATAAACATAATGCATTGCATTCCTAAAAAACATCGGAATTTTTATGATGCTTATCTTTAAATCTTCCAAAAAGTTTGATAATTTCAGCAGTCATTCCTAAGGGTCATAACGCAATAATATAACATCAACTGGTGAAACACCAGAGCAGGAAACCCCACTATCAACTCAATTTTTCAAGATTCTTCAAGGGCCTAGCTAATGCAATATGATAAGAAAAATAAATAAATAACACTAATATTGGAAAAGATATAAATTATCTCAAATATTATTGTAATTATGACAAGCAATGCCTTAAAGCAACTTAAAAGGCATTAAAAGTTAAAGCATTAAAAAAACTCCAAGTGATAGGAATAAATAAAGGCTAAATGATTTAAACCCATGGCATCCGTTTACTATAAAATTAAAACATTACATGGAACAAAGGTCTCATTCACCACAATGTTTAAAAAACAAGGTTTATTCTTTCTTCTGGCACTAAATATTTTTCCTAAGAGCACAAATATATAATTTTTGTTTAAATCTTTGAAATACCAATATATATTGATCTTATAGCTAAATAGTTCTTTGTAGTTACTTTACTTCAGTGTTTAATTATAAGATTATGTAAAGCTAGAACTAATCACAAAGAAAAATTTTTTGAAGATTTATGGTTTTAACATAGCACCAGTTAATCCTGATATCAGTAGAGCATTAAATTATAATATATAGTTACAGTGCTAAAAATCATTTTATTTTGTAGTAATCATGTTGCTAGAGAACAATGTTATTAAAACACCATTACATGGGCCAGGGATTTAGCTCAGTGGTTCTACCTGCCTGCTTCACAAGTGCAAGGACCCAACTTCAATCCCCAGTACCAAAAAAACAAAAAAAACCACCATTACGTTAACTGAAATTTTATACCATAACAGTTTGACATATTTTATTAACAAAGTTCACTGCCATTTCAAATAATAAAAACAACAGTGCCATGCCAAAGATTCAATGCCTTGACTTTTTTTTTAAGTATCTGGTAGCAGATTTGAGGAAAAGAAACACAAAGAAGATAAAGTACTTATCTTAAAATATCTGAAAAGATAGGATAGTTTCATTAAAGTCTCTTCTATCTAAAAAGATCCTTGCGGGGGGCAGGGATTTAGCTCAGTGGTTCTGCCACCTGCCTCGCAAGTGCAAGGACCTGAGTTCGATCCCTGGTACCGCCCAAAAAAAATAAAATAAAATAAAAATATCCTTGGTTCTTCTCATCACCACAAAAATAAAAAGCTATACAGGAATCACTAACCTTGAGAAAAGCTAGATTCATTCTTGTGTTCATAGTGAGCCAAACCAGATTTGCACAATATACCTTAAATCAATATATCTTAAAGCCTCATGGATCCTTATATATGAGGGTAAAGTACAAATCTGCAAAATTAAATTAATGGAAAATAATATTACTTAAAATGAATTAAGTCTCATGGTTAACATTAAAATTTTAGGATTTTCAAGGAAATAGAATAGCGTGTTTTCTAATTAAAAGATAATTAAGGACAAGTTTCTCCGCAAACAAAAATGTCCTTAATGATTTAAACATTTAACATTAGCTAATGCGGGTAGGGAGGTAATTAATGCATTGATTATAAATATCATTTCAAAATTAACTTGTCTAATCATGAATTCATTGGGTAAAATGCCAGCTGTGGTAACAGGCACTGTCATCGTTGTGAGACAATATAAAAACTACTGAAACACTTAAAAATTTTAATGTGTAAAGTAAGATTCTGAGCCATGAAGACAATTATATCCTTGAACAACTGATTTTTAAAATTCTTCTCACTATTTCATTAAGTTGATTTTTATCCCAGGATTTCTTCCCAGTTCTAAAATGAGAGAACAAGAAAATTACCTAAATAAGACAATACAAAAGAACAGAAATGTGCCAGAAGCCTTGTTTCCATTTGCACTCAACAGTGCATCTAGTGTTCAATTTTCTCTTCAAAAAAATCTTGATTTAAAAGAACAAAAAGTACAACCAGCTTTCACATCCAAGAAAGCACACTGCTCAGCTTTTACTAAAGTCTGAAAAAGACTGAAACAAATACTATTAAGGCACATATTTATTCTAAGTTATATAATGCCATTGACCATAAAATTAATCTGTGACTTTGATATATGACTTTTAAAAATAAATATTACCAACAGGTACAAATCTTTCACTTTTTGTCTTAAGACAGTCTTAGAAGAGTTTTTATCAGTATATTTTTTCATAACTTAAGGAAATGCCACTTCTATAACGTTAAAGATGTATGTTCTAGAAAGGTGATTTACTTGGGGGAAGGGGAGGGACTGCTACATTGCTTCTTCCCAAGAAAAATAGATGCATTTCATTCTTCAGTGTTCTCTATATATATATATACATGTTGTGTGTGCACATATATATATACTCAATAAAGGTTTAAATAATTCACTATTCTGTGTGACTCAAACTGCACTGCCCTATACATCTTATTTAATCAAGCATGTAGTGAGTACCTTTTGCATATCTGGCTTTATGTGAAAGATAGAAAAGACAATTTGTCCTTCAGAATCTATGGGTCTCTTTCAGAAGCAAAAAAAAAAAATATGATACATCATTAGGTAAGTTATGAAACTAATGTCAAAACCAATGGTACAGGTATCATGAATTTTACATTTACATAGCATTCTAGTGTATTTAATCCTGAGAACAATCTTGAGAAGAATACAATATTGGCTTCATGCTAGAGACAAGGAATCTAAGGTCAGAAATGTTGAGTACCATGCAGATGATAATGGAAGAGTCAAGACTCAAGCCAGGTTTTCTGATGCTAAGCCGAGTGCTCTTTTCCATATGGCTCAGGAAACCAAGGATGAGGCAGTCAACAAGACAACAGGCAGCCTTCAGGAAGAGGTGAAAATGAACTGAACTGATAATTGAGCAGTATCCGCCTAAATGTCTACATTAATTTTATTTGGCAAATACTTATGTTACAGTGTGATGCACAGAGCACAACTACCATTTCTTTAAGCTTAGTGCCTTTACCTCTTCAATAAGAGCTCTGCCTTCATAAATGGTGATGTGGAATATAATAAAAAGCCGGCTTACTGGGCTCATGTAAGTCTTAAATCATAAATATCAATCTGAAAAGTCGAGTTTCTATTATCCTGGTGTGTTTTCCCTGAGCACTGGAGAGCATAACTCGCTCACCCTTTCTTAGCATTCTTGCTCCCAACAACCACTTAAGATGTTAATCATTGGACACCCCCACAATCGCACAAGTTCACCCCAATTCTATCAGGTCTCCAGCCCCTGCCCAGGCACTTTCCCCTCCCTCCCGAAGGGTAGGATACCGAGTTCAGATTCTGCAGGTCCTGTCGCGATGCTGTCACACAGCACTGACAGATAAGATCTGACCTTTCGACTCCGTCCTTGGGGACCTCTCGCTGGCTGCGTAGCGTGGCTCCAGCCCCGGGAAGGGGGCTCCCGGCTCGGGAAAGCAGCCCCTGGCAGCGCGCGGTCCGAAGCTATGTCTCCGACAACTAGAAGGAGACTGGGCGCGCGAGCGTGCATCACTCCGCCCCATAGTCCTGCCAACTGCAGGGGACTTGGTCCCGCAGCCAGTCCATCCCACTCCACACGGCAGGTCTCGACCAGCGGGACCTTACACTGGACCCCAAAGACAGGTCGCTGGTCGGGGAGGCGACGGCAACAAAAGCCAAGGCCACCCACCTCGGGTGCCCATAGCCGAAAAATTAAGACCCCCGAGAGAGGACAGCAGAAAAGCGTTTCTATGGGAACCTACTGTGGATCACGTGATGCGCTCCAGCAGCCAATCGCCTCTTACCTCAGCCGGCGCCCTCCCCTTCGACTCGTCCCTCCGCCCCCGCCTCCTGAGCTCCGCTCCGCCCCTTTCCTGCAGAGGACAGGCGCCTGCGCACTGTGCCCTGCGCGCTCCCGCCCTCGCGCGCGCT